TTGACTTTGCGCAAAATCATTTAATATTTGTTGGTAGCACGACTACGAAGTGGAAGGTGTTTCGGAAGTTTTGCTTGTCAACATTTTGGCTTCGAAGATGAATTTGGAAACACAGTGTGACGATAAGTAGTGACATGTAGAGAGGCTGTAATACCAACAATCAATACGAAACTAACGATTTAAAATTGGCTCACTGCTTGACTAGCCTATTGGTCCCAAGCAAATCGATTACGTACCCCATTCTAGCCAAAATTCTAGTACTACACTATGTTTGTTTTGATTCGCTATGAAAGTTTGACAGATAAAATGAGGGGTTAGTGGATTTGCCTATGTTTCGAGGGGTGAATCGATTAGCTTGGGACCGAAGATAGTACCAGAGCTGAGCCAAAAAGTTGAGCACGTTTCTTCGAGACCTTTTGGTCTTAGAGTTACCTCTATGGTAATACCAAATACAGCCTCTCTAGTGACATGATATTGACATGTATTCAGTGACGGGTATCAGAGATGCAGACAGAGAGAGTGAGATGTGTGACAGAGAATGATAGAGAAAACGACGGTGCTGGCGACACGGGTCAGAGGAGTGAGTTAAGATCGAGACGAGGATCGGAACAGGCAACGTTTTTTACAATGGTTAGTCGTTTGATTTATCTTTCCTCATAAAATTAAAAGCGAAAGAAACAAGCAGGACAATCCGAGACAGACACGTAATCTAATTGATTGGCATTGATTGTCGTCCTGTTTAGAGTGTGGAAAATCTGGAATAATAAAAAAAAACTCATGAAGAAAATAAATAATTCGCTTGTTGTGCTTCAAGAAAAGAGACTCTGTAAAAAAATCAAGCCACTTTAGTAGCAACGATCGTTGAAAGATTTTTACCGGAGTTCCATAAAGGAGATAGTAGGTATCCGAAAGTTTTGTGTTCGGTACTCAGCAGGGGGCGAAGGTGGCATTTGCCACTAAAACATCCTGAGGGGCGTAAAATTTGCATGGATTTTTAAAAAACAAATAGAGATGATTTACTCAATGGCGAGATCGAAAATAAATTCTGGCAACCATGACAAATTTCTTTGAAAATCGTTTAGCCGATAATGCCGATAATACAGGGATGAAACTCACATGAGGTTAGCTACTCTTGCCCAGTGAGTTTAGGTAGTCCTCATCTTGAATTACTACAGATTTGCTAGAGCTTCATTGCAGTTCCCATATTTTGTTTCAGGAAACTTTCAGGAAGGTTCAGCTACTTGTTAGGAAATTCTGTGAACTATAGGGAACTGTAGTGAATTTTAGGAAAGTTATGAAAACTTCAAAGAAGTTCATCCAAAGAACCTTAGAAATTCAACAACTTTCAGAGAAGTTCATTGAACTTCAGGAAGTTCTACAAACTTCAGGATAAATCTTCAAACATTAAAGCTGTGCTTCGATCTTCAGAGAAGTTCTGTAAACTTCAGAAAAATTCTGAATTCTGGGTACTTCAGAGATGTTTTGTGAGCTTCATGGAATCAATGTCCTCCTGGTAGGTTCTACGAACTTAAAGAGAGTTCTGTGAACTATAACAACATTATATGAATTTTAATGATGCTCTGCAAAAAAGCTCTTTAAACGTGAGAAATTTTTTGCAAACTTCAGGATGGTATGTGAACCACAGGGAAAATTTTATAACATTAGGAAAGTACTGTGAACTTTAAGAAATATCTGAGAATTTCAGGAAAAAAATGCCAAACTCAGAGACGTTCAAATAACATAAGGGAAGTTTGAAGAATTTCACCAAAAAACTTAAGAACAGGGATTTGAATTTGAATGTAATTTCTATAAGCTGTTTAATCGGGTCATTGGTGGAACAACTCCTACTTCATGTCTTAGAAAACTGGTGTAGTAAAGATAATTTCTTGCGATATCTCTTTCTTTTTTATGCTTACCTTATGAAATGGGATCAATGAAGGTTGTAAAGATGAGAGTTCGCCACCTAAAAAAATATCGTGAGTTTGGCTCACGCATGTTACATTGCCGTTTACCGGTATAAAAAAGGGTGCAGTTAATGAACATTGAGGTTCACACATATCCAGAAGAAAATTTTTAACAAGAAATTCAAATCAAACTCGACAGTCAAAGTTGTACGGGTATGTAAATATTTGTAAGAAAAAAAAAACACCGCAGAAAAAAAAAGAAATTCATAAAAAAAATGCAAATTATGTCTGACGTAGGCTTCTCCTTCATGCATGTAGTGAAAACCGGAAACTTCAGAATCTCTCCGAATTGGCATATGAAAGTAAAGATCACTTTGTTGCCAAAAGCATTAAGGAGTTAGCAAGCAAAAAACTAGCCGAGGTTAGTTTTTCAAACGTCACAGAAAGACCAATGGGTTTAAATTTGAAACAGTTAGGGAAAAAATCTATGAATTCTCACGAAAATTTAAACAAGGTCAGTATGTAACAGTTATCGTTACCGTCAAACTATCCAGCCCGGCTGCAAATCAGCTATGAGGAAAGACAACGCAGCCAAGAATGATCCCAATAACGCAATTGAGTGGTTGACGCAAATGCGACTCGCCATACGCAATTTGGATTCGCTGGTCACCATTGTTGGTGCTTGATAAACGCCATTGCTTGATAAACGTGTAGTTTTTGAAGGATGAAATTTTGATAATCAGCTTACGAAAAAGAACACATCGCTGATTTTTCGATATGTTGTGTTAAAAAGCCTAAAGTTTTACGAAATATTTATTTTTTTACTTTCATTATAGTTTTTTAATTATTATTTTTAATTACCTTTCATTTAATATTTTTATCTTTGAAATCGGCCCAGTGAATCACAAGTTATACATTTTGAAAAAAATAATTAAAAAAAAATAAAAAAAAATCCATTTTTTGGACTACCCTAACGTTGAAATATAAAAAAATAAAAAATAAACATATTTTGCGATAAAGAACAAAACAACATTTTTTTACTAAATTCTGAGAACCACTGTATCGTTTTGCTATGGAATGGCTGAATTATTTTTTTTTTTAATTATAGTCACTTTAACGCTCTTGGGTCATTCGTGACTTTTCCGCGGGTGAGATTTGAACTCGTGACTTTGGCGTGAGAGGTATGGATGCTAACCACTATGCCGGCGTCGCCCCCTGGCTGAATAATAGCAAATTCAGAGACTAATCCATTATTTAGTTATTTTATTAATTTAAACATCAATCATCATGACAAAGTTACAATATCCGACGGTACCGAGGAGAGAATCTTGCTGTACTATTGAAGCTTAGTATTTTGACTACTTTAATCCCCTTTTGAATCATTTTCAGTTGAATTTGTTTCGATCCGTAACAGTTTTGTATCGTCAATAATCCGTATACGCCTTTGTAAACGGTTAAGTATACTTCAAAACCCTTTTTCTCAAAAAAACCCAAGATGAAATATTTTAAACCCTTCACACATTTGCTAGTAAGGATCAATACTAACTTCATGTGAAGAAAAAAATTAGGTACATGAAAGTTGCAAAAAAGTGCCCTCAGACATAGCGTGTACTGTTCTACATATACGTGACTGCTTTCTCACCCCCCAATGGATCTGGGTTCAATCCCAGCCGAGGTCGGTGGGATTTTTCTGAGGCATAAAAATCTCTGGTCACGTCTTCCTTCGGAAGGGAAAAAAAGCCGTTGGTCTCGGCCCATGTGTTGTTTAAATGGGTGTGATATCCTACACAGGCCTCCCTTAGCTCAGTCGGTAAAGCCGCAGCTACAAAGCAAGACCATGCTGGAGGTGGCTGGGTTCAATTCCCGGTCCGGTCTAGGAATTTTTCGGGATGGAAAATTTCTCGATTTCCCTGGGCATAGAAGTATGATTGGACTTGCCACACAATTATACCAATGCAAAAATGGTACAGGCATCGAAAGCTCTCAATTAATAACTGTGGAAGTGCATCTAGATCACTAAGTTGAGAGCACGCAATAAGCTAATATGCGATATTCCAAAAGCTTGAAATGCGAAGAAGAAGAAGAAGAATCCTACACAGGTGTGGAAGTTGCGTTCCTGCACGTTCGATGTCCGTCGATGACTGGCACTAGATTGCGGAACAGAGACCGACGTTAAAGAAAGGAATGAAGAAGATAGGCCCTGACTGAAAAGTACACAGATAAAAAAGTTGTTGAATATTACATCCAAACAGCTGCACAGAGATCATTCCACCGGTTACGTAATATTACGTTGTACGATGTACATCGATTTTGCGAACAAAATTACGTCCATTGATGTAATATTGTATCTGCTTTTTGCTATTACATCATTATTTCATACATCAGCTTGCATTGCGTTGATCGATATTACATTTTTTTTGCGGTGTAGTCGTGACCGAATATGAAGAATTGATAACATAAAATGACATTTTTATTAAAGAGGAACAACTGTGCAACATTTCAGCTAGATTGGAAATGATTGTTCAGGATCGCTTCCCGAGCCTTCGTGGAATGCCCTGCGCCATTACCGACTGAGCTAAGAGAGGCTCCCTTAGCACAGTTGTTGAGTATAACGTTTAGCGATAACGGTAAGGGGAAGTTTACCGCCGTAAACGTGTAAAATATTTTTTTCTTTGTATAATGGCAAAAAAGTTGGACTCAAAGAACCGCAAAAATCGACTTTTTGGTTTTGCTTAGAGTTCATCTTTTTTTCATGAATAGATAGAAAAAATATTGTTACATGTAATTTTTCAGAAATCTGAGGAAAACAGTGATGTTCTTGGATTTCTTTACGTCATTTCCCAATATTGTTAGAAACATCGAAATGAGCCAGAAATGTTTTGTTTTGGGTGATAAGCTTCTCCTCAAGGGATACTACACATGAATATTTAAACGCGCAATACCTACAAACTCAAAGCGATATGGTGGGTGACTCAGGTTGAGTCACTGATGGAGGTAGGTATGGATTACTGCGCTGTGATTCGTCGTTCCGTTTTGTTGTGAATCGTTTGTTGAATAACAAACAGCTATCAGTCGCGAGGTAGTTAGGCAGTCGCTTGATGTTCAGTTAGAATTATAATGGCGTAGAGGCAACCGGAATAATTTTGCCATTCGTGTTCATGTCAAATGGTTAAGTTTCTCACAAATAAATAATATGGAAACTAAAAGTGCAACTGCTGGGTCCGGTGAACCAGAATCAAACCGATTCTTGATAGTAGATTTCACTGATGATGATGTAAGTCAATCAACTTGTAATCATTGAGCCTGTACAAATAAATCAATTCATAAAAAAATCAACTTGTAATAATAAGGAATATATCGAAATTAAACTTCGATTGACATATCTTCATAGTGTTGAACTCAATCAGTCAAAACAATATATATTAATTACAGTGTGCATATTATAATAAATTATCATGACGAGCAATGCACAGTAGTCCAGGATGGGGATTTAGCAAGCCAAGGTTCGTAGTGCTTGGAAGATCGAAGTAGGCCGCACTGCGAAAAAGACGTGTTTTTGTTTTGATGCGTCGTTTTCGCTCTTACAATAATAATTATATATGTTAATCTACAAAATTGAAATTGAAAGCACAGAAGTGGTATTAAACAGAGTTTCAAGTGGTAATTATCAAACTCCATGTGCCTCTAGTGTTTGTCGCAGTGATCAGTGATATGAGTTGAATGTAAAATCAAGTTCTTCCTATTCCATAGTATGCTGTGCCGTTTGTTCTAACAGTGGAAACAAATTGGGTTCTTTAAGGGTATTGAGGTAAATGCATATTCGTAATCTGCATTAACAGTGGAACCCAAACCCAAAATTTCATCAATTTTGGTACACTGGAACTATTTTAAATAAGTACGATAACATTTGCAAAAATCACCTTATTAGCGCCCCTCGGTGTCACTTTATATGAGAGCGAACTGTCAGTTTGTTAGTTTAGTGTCAAACAGTGAAGTTATTATTTTGTTTTCAGTCTTGATTTAAAAATTACGATGAAAGTGTGTGGGTTCGAAAAAAATATAGGTGTGCTCAGAAAACGAAGCTCTTTCAGATGATGTATAAAAACTGATACATTTTTCAAAATTAATGAACCCAATTGACAAAACCGCGTCTAAATTGAATATTTTGGCTGTCAAACGGTTTCTGTCAACATGTTGCACATATTCTTAAAGGAATAACTGCTGAATCGAGTGGTGGTGGTCTCATTGGCCGGAGACTTTTGCCTGTCAAGATAGAGGACCGAGATCAACCCGAGCTCCCGGTAAAGTAGACATAGTTTTGCATCTTACTTTACGTATATTACTGGAAATTGATAGTACTAAGTATATATGGTGTAACGACACCATATACGCCCTCAGGGAACCTCGAATGGTTCAAAGGAGGAACCGTAACGACTAATAAAGAGGCAACATTTTAAAAATTGTCCTAGATCCTAGCGGTTTTTTTTTTTTTTTCTATGTCGTTCAGAATCATGAGCTCAAAGCGTATGTAACATGGAATAATGCTTTGGAACGTTCAGCAAAGATTATTTACCATCCAAATAATTATTTCTGTTTATTCATAAAAATTGCAACTAGGTATAATTTTATTGCTAAATACGTGCCAGTATCAAAGAAGGCTTATTGCATATTAATATATCTTCGGAATGTACGTGTATGAACAGGCATTCTTAAAATGGGTCATTGGATTTACAGTAGAGCTGTCACCAACACACAACACACACCAAAATTTAATTTTTCTATAAAGAAGCATGATCCTTCGACTGTGACTTTTGAGCAATTTGACAACTCTTTGGTGATTTCCAACAAATCGTTAATTTTTGCTTAACTTTTCAGTTAACGTTGTTAGCTGATTTTCAGTAAAGCATAGTTTTGCTAATCTTTATCCAGCAATCCATTTAGCTGAAATTCAATTCCAAAATTTGGTGTGTAAATACACCAAAAACAAAACTTTTGCTAAGGATTAAACTGAAACTCTTTATTTTTTGGACCCCGGGAGATTATCCGCCGTCCCAGAAGGGGACGTGCCTAGACCCCTAGCTGCTGGTCTAAGCCTGTCGGCAGCCACTGGGGTGTCCAAAGGCCTCTTTTGTTCCCGGGTCCCAGGATTTGTCGGCGAGGGGGAATTTTCGGTGTAAGCTGTCCTAAATATCGCAATGAATTAATTTACCTTGGTGATGTTTATTGGGTGGATCTATCGGTTCTAGTGTGCGAGTCGGCGTGGACTGTCCCGATGGAGGAGTGGAACAGCCAGAGAGCAGTGGCCGGATGGCGGTGGCCGGATGGCGGTGGCCGGATGGCGGTGGCCGGATGGCGGTGGCCGGATGGCGGTGGCCGGATGGCGGTGGCCGGATGGCGGTGGCCGGATGGCGGTGGCCGGATGGCGGTGGCCGGATGGCGGTGGCCGGATGGCGGTGGCCGGATGGCGGTGGCCGGATGGCGGTGGCCGGATGGCGGTGGCCGGATGGCGGTGGCCGGATGGCGGTGGCCGGATGGCGGTGGCCGGATGGCGGTGGCCGGATGGCGGTGGCCGGATGGCGGTGGCCGGATGGCGGTGGCCGGATGGCGGTGGCCGGATGGCGGTGGCCGGATTGTGGTTGCCAGATTGTGGTGACCGGATTTCGGCGGCCAGATTGCAGCGGCCGGATTGCGACGGCCAGATTGCGACGGCCGGATTGCGGTTGCCGGATGGCGGTGGCCGGATTGCGGTGGCCGGATTGCGGTTACCGGAGTGCGGTTGCCGGATTGCGGTTGCCGGATTGTAGTTACAGGATTTCGGCGGCCGGATTTCGGCGGCCGGATTGCGATGGCCGAAGGGTGATAGCCGAAGCGCGATGGCCAAATCTCGATGGCCGGATAGGGTTGGCTAGATGGCGTCGGCCAGATGATGACGGCCGGATCCTGATCGGTTAAGTCCTCTAACACCGTGATCGACGCACTTTCTCCTCTTTTCCGGGTACGTTTTTTTCCCAGTCTCTCAACACTCCTCGTGTAATTCCAACTATCTCGTACCACAGTCAGCAACACACTCTCTATCCTCACTCTCTCTCGGCCGAAACATCTCTCACCTCCTCATCGACTCTCAGCTTCACCGTAGCTAGTTTCCGTCTCTCACTACGCTATGACAGTTCGGTGGTGGTTCAGTGGACAGTGGTCGCTTCGCCCATGCAGCAAAACACCTCCATCATCGCCCTACCTTATCGGTCACTTTAGAAGTGACTTTATGGAGCTATCTCTCTTCACAACACTGACTCTACTCTTACACCAATTGAATCCAATGGTACCAACCGGTAACAAAACTAGTTTAATACAAACATTTTGAAGAAAACGTTGAAAAACAACAAGTTTGAATATCTCGTAAAAAACAACAAATCGTAAGCTGAGATTTTTAGAAAAAAAAACAATACTTAGTGATCACAATATTAAAATTCAGAGAGGTCTCATCATCATCAGTGAAAAAAGAAAGTTTTTAGAAATTTTGAATTTTGGTAGAACAACTTTTCAAGAGTTGTTGGCATTGGACTAAGACTTTGATGATGATGATATGGAACTATCACTCATTGTAGCAAGACTCCTGTCAGTAGCTGTGGGCTGTTCTCGCTGTTCGACTTGTTCAAGCTTAATAACCGCTTATTGTACTCAGGCTGTGTTCCGTTTGGTAAATTTTCACTTAAATTTGACAGATGGAAAATGTTCAAATAAATCTGCTATTGTACCAGACTTATTTCTGACCGACCAGAATTTTGACAAACACCTTCTCGGAAATCGGAAGATCAAAAACAGAGGGATTTTCGAACATTATAATTTATTTTCGCCCACCTGCATCTACGGGATGATTGAGAATCTCCTTCCAACAGAAGAATCATACAACCGTGGGAGAAGAGCCCACTCTCTATTCATGAAATGTTAAAGACAGGGAGTTCCCACTCTCCCCATCAATTGGGCTTCAATTGGGTGCGCTGGTAATTCCTCCCCTTACCAGCATTTATTGGTTCTGTAACCCTGGTGAAGGGTGACAATTATTAACCACCCTTTAAACGTGTTTGCCATGAGCATGTGTCTCGTCTGTCATGATTTGTTTTTATTTTGGTCGCACGCAATGTGAGGTGATTGAGAGGTGGAGAAAGTACTATCAACAATCAATACGAAACTAACGATTTTAAATTGGCTCACTACTTGACTAGCCTATTGGTCCCAAGCAAACGATTAACGTATCCCATTCTAGTCGAAATTCTAGTACTACTCAATGTTTGTTTTGATTCGCTATGAAAGTTTGACAGATAAAATGAGGGGTTATTGGTTTTTCCTATGCTTCGAGGGGTGAATCGATTAGCTTGGGACCGAAGAGAGTACCAGAGCTGAGCCAAAAAGTTGAGCACGTTATTTCGGGACCTTCTAGTCTTAGAGTTACCTCTATGGTACTATCATAGAGGCAACTCTAAGACCAGAAGGTCCCGATGAAACGAGCTCAACTTTTTGGCTCAGCTCTGGTACTATCTTCGGTCCCAAGCTAATCGATTCACCCCTCGAAACATAGGAAAATCCACTAACCCCTCATTTTATCTGTCAAACTTTCATAGCAAATCAAAACAAACATTGTGTAGTACTGGAATTCATACTAGAATGGGATAAGTTAGTCGATTCGCTTGGGACCAATAGGCTAGTCAAGTAGTGTGCCAATTTAAAATCTTTAGTTTCGTATTGATTGTTGATGGTACTATCATAGAGGTAACTCTAAGACTAGTTGATCCCGAAGAAACGTGCTCAACTTTTTGGCTCAGCTCTGGTACTATCTTCGGTTCCAAGCTAATCGATGCACCCCTCAAAACATAGGAAAATCCACGAACTCCTCATTTTATCTGTCAAACTTTCATAGCGAATCAAAACAAACATAGTGTAGTACTAGAATTTCGACAAGAATGGGGTACGTTAATCGATTTGCTTGTGACCAATAGGCTAGTCAAGTAGTGAGCCAATTTAAAATCGTTAGTTTCCAACCGGTGATAAAACATCGTCTCTGGCAGATACTAAATATACACTAAACACAATTGCAGATCGCCTACAAATCCAACAGTGTTCAGCAGAACCCCGACGCACAGGACTACTACCTTCTGCAGCAACATCTCCATTCAGAGAAGCTCCTCTTCGAAGACCCTGCACAGTGGTTCCTGGCCGGTCAAAACCTCAAACATCAAAGTTGGTATTTTTTTTATTTCAATATTTTTTTATCATTTTTACATGTTTAGAGTATCTTAAATTGAATGATTTGTGCAGTTCTGTTGATTAAATATTTTTTTATGGCTGTTATAGTGTAGCTATATCACAAATTTTTGAAAAAAAATCGTTATGTTTCTTGATACTGTTTTGCTCAAATATAGCAAAAAATTATGTGTTTATCAACTTGGTTGCTTCAGAAGAAATGTTCCTCGGCTTATTTCACGTCAAATGGATGGAAAAAAAGAGTGTCTACACTGTTTTTAGTGACAGTTTCAAATAAAAATTTAGCAAAAATGTACTTTTTTTACATTTAGACTAAGCAAAACATATGACGGACACATCCGCCCACTATCCTATAGTAACCAAAAGATAGCTAGAAAAGTTAGCTTTCAGATAGGCTTTAATAAGTTTTGCGATTTTTTGCGAAAGATGTTGAAATTAGGAATAACAAGTAAAGTGTTCTTTCGAAAATATCCGTTTCTAAGTTATATAACCTGCGGTGCATACGGTAGCAAGCTTCACAATGCCTTTTTCAGGGGACATCAACACGCACACACATACACACACGCACCATATATCTAACTCTTATGGTTCATGAGTTATAATTTTTTTAAACAAGCCTTTTATAGCCTTTTCTCTAAGGAACGTACACATATGCAGTATTGGTTTGTTTACAATCTTTTGCTGCCAGCTGCTCTAACAATTCCAGTCGAAAGAATTGTCAAAAACTGTTTTGCAACGCTTTTACAAAGCTCCAATCTTCTCTAGTGAGAGTGAGTATTGTCGGCAACCAGTTTTTCTTCGGCAACCATTCCATTTGAACTGCATGTAAATCTGCTGTTCTATTACCGGCAACTCGAAATCAGCTACAATTTGTAGTGCGTGTGTTTCATTTCAAGAAAACCTTGCTAGATTGCTTTTTCTCAGTGGTAAAAATATAGTCAAATTGAAGCTGAAAGCATAAAGAATCGTTTGCATGCATTCAGCGAAGTGTTTTCGTGAGAAAATCCAGTGAAAATAGTATTTCAATTTGGGCTGCCGAAAATATCCTGGCATGCCGAAGCCGTCATTTCCCCTAACATAAGAACCTTTTATGACGCATATTTTTGCTAAGGTGTTATCTCTTTTATTTGAAAAGTTATGGCTAGTTTTTGTTGAAAAATATTACTTTTTTTTTAAATTAAATTAAATGCTTTAAACATAAAAAGCTCTTCGAGTTTTTTTTACCAAAAATGAAGAAAAGACGATGTTTTCAATGAAGTTTAATGTTTGAAAATCGATTTGCCCCATATTGAGATATTGACAATTGAAAAGAGCCATTTTTTCGAAGAAAATAGCCTTTAACTAGTTGCTTGAGCAAAAATATGCGTCATCAAAAGTTCTTAATTAATAAGAATAATGTTTTACGAGAAATTAACGCATGAAAAGATATTCAAAGAAAACCGATTTTAGGGGCCACCCTAACCTGTTTGTTTAAAAAAATCATAACTTATTAACCATAAGAGATAAAAATGTTGTGTCTTGAACAAAGTTGCTTTGAATTGAATGTTCTACAACTGTTTAGAACACTGCTTTGGTCTATCTCAAATAATAAAAAAGTTTGTATTTTAAATTCACCTATTTTATGGACCACCCTAATTTTACGAACATAAAAAGATTGAACAAAAAATATGAAGCAACTTTCCCTAAGAAACCATACACCTAAAACTGACGGTTTGGGCGCAAACATTTTTGTCTTCCTATATACGGCTTTGGGACCATTTTGCATTGGTTTTGGTTCTACTATACTCCTTTTTGTGACGTCTTGATTGTCAAGTTTTCTTCGTACTGCTAATAAACATTTATTTCAACTGTTTTTTGCCTATTTGCAACAATTTTGAGGTTTTGGCCAACTTTTGTTCTAAGGGGAACCACTGTGCCCTGACTTCCCCGCTTCAATCCACACCGTACTGGGACATGAATCTACGGTAAAGACAAACATCCAATGGGTACGTCCATTGGAAATCAACCCCCGACCAAAGTTTTTCGTTGAGGAACCATCCGAATTCTGCGTAGAGAAGCGATCCGTTCTGCATGGCTTCCTTTCAGCAGCAATGATCAGTCTTACAACCAATGACCGAGCATTTCGTCGAACCGTTCCGACGGATAACTCCTTCGATGAGGAACGCTATACCGGAATGTTTCACTTTCGTTTCTGGCAGTACGGTAGATGGGTAGACGTGGTGATCGACGATCGGCTTCCGACCATGGATGGAAAACTGATATTCATAAGACCGACCCAGCAGAACGAATTCTGGTTCGCTCTGTTGGAGAAGGCATATGCGAAGCTTCGTGGATCGTTCGGTGCAATAGTTTCCAGTACGGTCACTGAAGCCATGCAGGACTTCACCGGAGGCATCACCGAACGGTACTATCTAGGCGATGCGGTATTGGTGACGGACAGTAGCTACGAAACGATCAACCGTAAGCTGAGCAAGGGATCTATCATGGCTGCAATCAAAGTGGTGAGATGGTTGAAAAGAACCCCAGGTTAACATTTTAATCTATTGCATCCTACTTTCAGCGCAACTACCAAGGATCGGAAAAACAATCGCAATATACATATTCTATTATGAAGACAGCCATAATCGAAAGCAGGCTGATCTGTTTGCAAACGCCACTGGAGGAGCTAATCGAGATCTATTCTCTACGAAACGATGGAACAGCTGACTGTTTTAGGAAATCCTGGATACGGTTTGATGAATTTGTTCGGCTCTACAATCGAGTGGAGATTTGTAACGTGCTCCCCGATTCCATGGGAAATCCCAGCGGTGACGAATGTAGCTGGCAATTATCATGCATACAAGGAGGATGGATCGCGGAGTCTACGGCAGGTGGTCCAAAGGATGACGCAAACTCATTCTGGAAGAATCCTCAATACATAGTTCACCTGGTTCAACCCGATCAGGTTGATAGCTCCGGCATGTGTCATCTAACAATCTCATTGATCCAGAAACCTAGAAAAGGAGTTAATCTTCCGATCAGTTTTGTCGTCTATCGAATATCAGAGAACGATTTCCGTTCCAAGCCCGTACCGATGACGTTTTCCAAGAAAAAAGAACCTACAGTGGTAGCATACCCAACCTTTTCCACCGTACGTGAGGTCACCAGCCGAGTGAAAACCTTACCCGGCGTTCTACTCATAGTTCCGTGCACTCAACAACGAAACTTAGAAGGTGAATTCTTCTTGAGAATCTACTCTAGACCCCGCCGTAAAACAAACGAAAATTTCAAGGAAAATACTCCTTCCATGAACGAAAAATGCTGGCACTCGGTGGTACGAATGTTCTACAGTCTGGCTGATACCAAGGCATCGATTGATCATACCGCGTTAGCGTCCATATTGATTGCACATTTTTTCGACATGAAATCCGAATTCAAACAACGGAAAGGACCCTGGAAAAGTTTAACGCGAAAGCGCACTCCCTCGGCGGTTGTGGCAAATCCTTCAACCAATGATTGTCATCGAGAGGTTATCGAACAACTTGCTCAGCATCTAATTTCCCGGCTTGAACTTGGTCCCCCGGAACGGCTGAACTACGCTCAATTCAAGCGAATCGTTCATGATGTCCAACAGTGGAAAGAGATGTTCGATTTGTACGACTTGGACCGAACCGGTCACGTGAAGAGGAAAAATTTGATCAAGTCATTGAAAAGCTCGCTTGGTGAAGATAATAAACAACATACTGTCAGCGCTCTCTTACGGGTCGTGGAGAAAAGTCAAGTAGACAAAATCACTTTTGAGGAGTTTGTTTCATTTCTTCTGGAAAGTCAACCGTTAGGATAACATTAATTAAATCATTCAAGGATAGGATTTGCAATTTATCAATCAACTGGAAAGAAAATCCACGACACAGGTAATCTTCTCTCAAAGAACTTTCCGCACGGCTCATGGATTCTCAGACTCATTTTTATTCAGTTCCGGTCGAACGTTCAAATTTTCTCAACAGCATTGCGGCACTGTACGAAAATCATTTGAAGCGTCCTCTTTCCACCCAATCTGCCATAAAGCTCTATTTTCATATCAAAATTCCAACAATATTTGAATTATTTGTTAATAAAACTTACTTTCAATTTTCCACTTAATCCTCGTCGCTAGAATATAGAGTTTAACCAACGATATTTAATTAACAAGATATCCCACTAATCAAGTCCTCGAACAAGGCAATTGGATGCACCATCCTTATGCGATCGCAGTGCCATCTGGTGAGTGCACATTGAATCTGTTGGGAGTCCCCCGCCAACTGCACCACCATGGGGTGGGCTCAATAAATGTCAGCATGACATATGCCAGCGTGGACGTTGATACACGGCGAATGAGAACGACCCAAATTTGAGTTTAGTTCACTCATAATCGCCAAAAGTGCAGGAACTCAGCAATGAGTAAATTTGTGGAAAACCTAAAAAATCTGCCAGAAAATGAGGAAATTGACGAAAATTTTATTCAGTCACGGAGTAGTACCAATAGACTGAGTGAATCCAATCTTTACTTTTCTCAAATTTAGGATTTTTTCCCTGGAAAATCCTAGAAAATCCTGGGAAAACATGAGGCAAATTTACTCATCGCTGAGTTCCTGCATTTTATTTCTTATTTCTGAGATAACTAAACTCAAATTTGGGTTCTCATTCGCCATGATATCACCTTGAAAGATATCGGCGCCGGTGGTTAGCGTGATTACCTCTCACCCCAGCAGGCCTGGTTCCAATCTCAGTCGGCGCCACCGGCATGTTCTAAGGCATAACATCTCTGATCACGCCTTCCTTCGGGAAGTAAAGCCGTTGGTCGCCGATTGAGTTGATGGGTCGATTGGTAGGGTCCAGGTATGGGAGCTGCCTCCCTGGCGTCGGTAGCATTGGAGCTCAGTACGGAAAACAAATCTCACGTCACTTTTCAATAGGTCCTATCTACATTGATCGATTCTCTTCATCGACACTCTCTTTCGTAAATAACTCGGCTTCACAAATGTTTCCTGCCGTCTTCGTCGAATTAGATGCTAGATTGTTACTTCTTCCCTCGATTCGTGGCGATTCTAAGTTGATCAAGGTTGATCAAAACAATTTGTACCCCTGCTTCCAGTTTGAAGACATGAGCATTTTGTGTGATCGTTGGTTCTGAATATGGACAAACAGGCAGATGAATTCTATTCCTACTCTTTACTGTAATAAGCTGGGTGGCCCTGAAAAGAGCCGTTTCGTTGCCAAAGTTGGTGATGATTTAACCTCCGAAACCAAACAGAGTGCGTCTCTGTCACTTCAAAACGTAGATGACATCGATGGCCGCTTACGCTTGGCGTGTTTAGTGTAGGTGACAGCATCACGGATCTCATTTTTCAGGAACACGTTCAGCACACCTCGTAAATCAGACCGGAGATACGTCAGACACCGCCACGGCGAGCCAGACGACGGATGGTAGTTATCTCGAAGAATTTGCTTTTGGTTCTGAATGTGGCGATGAGTGTGCAAAATATTACGCAATTCCATCGTCCCTATTCGCACGTGCCCGAAGATCGGAGGCGAATGCCACATTGCCACTTCGACTTGTTTCGTCTACTTACTACTCTCTGACGACTGTGCTGGGGAAGCAGCATATGCATGTAGGTAATTGGTGGATTTGTTAGTTAATTCGACGCTTTTGGACAATGCTTGACATTTACCAGTTTTTCAATAGCTTCTTGTTAAAAATCAACATTCGTAGCCATATTTCTGATCGATTGGTGATAAAATTATTTAAATTGGACCAGGGGCAGCTGAGTTATTAACGTTCAAAATCTTTCATAATTTGTTACATGTTACATTTTCGGTTTTCACAAAGTGTACCCCCATAAAGAAAACAGTAGTCTTACGTCAAAAAAAGATTGAGGTTGAGATTGAACTCGCGACCTTCTACTTGGAGAGCGAAAATGGTAACCACTATGCTACCAATTTCGTTTTGTTGTTAGCCTGAAGCAGTGTAGTGGAATAATGAATGAATACGCCGTTTGTAAGGCATTTACAGAGCATGCAATTGAAACATGGACGCATAGAGGTATAAGAGTTATTTTGCTGACTGTATTCACCTTTATACAGCAATATTGTAAAGCAATGCAATGAAATCTAATAATGGAGTGTAAGTGCTAGTGTCTTTGTTTCGAGTATTTCTTAGATTATCGTGGTCTTTTGTTTAGTTCCGTTAAAGTGTAAAAAAATAATGGCAGGTAATGTTCGTGAGTGTTGTGCAGTTTTCTCCGTTGTCAAACTCCCTAGTAGGCAGAGGTAGGACAGCTTACTGTAGAACGCAAAAAATCCACCCCACCGAAAATTGCAAAAACCCGCCACCAGATGGACAAACAACTGCCTGTTAGGAGGCCATGGGGGGTGGCGATAGAGATGGCCATATTGAATGGAGGATAACGGGCACGACAAACTGGCGATGAACGACGAATGACACACTCAACTTTGAAATTAATAAAGACTGATCGTAAGACCACCAGCGAAAACGGTTCATCAAGAAAGCAAGCCAGCTAAATTTACGCAAGTAAGAGTGGAAACAGTGAAAAAGTGTGAGGAGAGAGTCAAGGACAGCAGGACCCCGCTGTATTTAGTACAGATCAACTGTACGCAGTGAAGTTCCGGTAGACGTACCGGAAGGTTACACCGTCATTGCCTGCCGACCCGAGTTCGTCACCAACTCATAGGCCCAGGAAGTGTAACCTGGTGCTCGTCATCACCACCCCGTACATCAAGCGCGCGAAGGAGGTACACGACGAGGAAGTGGAGAGGAAGCGGACGTCGACCGAAGACAAGCGGTCGACGATCGAAGACACGTGGTGGAGGTGTTGCGAGGGGCCCCGACGAAGAAAATAGGTCAGATAGATTGTAAGAAAGTGGGAGAATAAGGTAGTAAAGAGGTTGAATAAAAGTTCAGGAAAGTGAAATAAATCTTTAATCTTGAGTAGTGAAGTGCTTGTGGAGTTTTTTCTGTGTGTCACGTGCGATCATTCCCTGCGCGCGTAGTTGCAATCGGTAAGCTTGCCGACCCTGAGGCCATTGGAGTCAGGGAGTCTCTAAAGTGCTCCTGACTGAGATGGCTGACACTTATTGGAGCTAGAAAACATTTATAATAAAGCATTTTATTAAATCAATTGAAAACAGTCGAATTTAAGCGACAATATATGTGCAAATTACACTTATTCAGTTTGTTATTAGATCAAACTTCTGGTTCTGGATCAGGAAGACAGTCAACGTTTATAAAACTTTTAATAAGTTTTAATAAGAATAATCATATCAGAGCAAACGGCGGAATAAAGGCGCATCAATCGATCTCAATGAGCTTTTTTCAGCACATAATTCGACATCCTGTTTTATTCAGCCTTATACACTGTTATACAGCATTTATTCAATGTGTATGCTTATTTGTGACTTTGAATTGTTTGCTGGGTATGTTTTTTTTTTTTAAGTGAACCTTACAAAAAATGGGTTGTTAGAAATCATTACCATTAAAAATTCTTGTTTTCTCCATACATTTTCTGACGGCGAGTCACGGTTCATCAGATGTGGTCAGATGTGAAAGGAGAGAACACTCGCGATTACAGAATACGTGAACTTTATTAAAAACAAAATAAACACTTGGAAAGTGATAAAACACACTCGCGTCGGTCGCGGTTCGATCGGAGAATGGCTGTTTTAAAGATGACAGCCACTTGCACTGCTCGAGGGATCGGCAGCTACTAAGGTGTTCGGACGGGTGTGGTGACCAAGGAGTATCTATACCATAAGGTGAACATTGTTTTTCTCCACACTCCTCCTCAATGATCAACCGCTTCACTGGAACTTCCGAGTCCCAACCTTCCACAGAACATCTGGTGCTTCATCGGTCCGAGGGGTTTCATCAGAACATCCGCGATCATTTGATCAGTCGGACAGTAGATCAACTCAATCTCCTTCTTCTCGCACAAATCCTTAACGAAGTTCTCTCTCGTGTCAATATGCTTGGAGCGTCGGCTCGAACGCTCCGCCTTCAAAAACGCGAGGCAACCCTGGTTGTCCTCGTTCAACACTGTTGGACCCTTCTGCTCCTCACCAATTACACGCAGAAGTTGCCTCAACCATACGGCCTCTTGGCAGGCTTCGCTGAGCGCCACGTACTCGGCCTCCATAGACGAGAGAGTGACGGAAGTCTGGCGACGGCTGGCCCATGAGATCACTCCTCCTGCAAAACCGGATGTCGATTTCCGACTACCGACGTCTCCGGCCCAATCGGAATCTGCATACCCGATGAGTGCTTGATCTGGATCTCCTCCCAGTCATCAGCTTCGTAGAACTCCTCACTATCAGCTGACTCCGCATCGCTTTCAACCTTCTTCTCCTTGAGAGGCAGCAGCTTGATTTCATCCTCGTCGTTCTTCTCAGGACCGCTGGATGCAGAAAACTCCACTGAACTCGTCCCATTGCCAAGTTCGATGAACCTGTGCGTCTCGGCTCACAGTTACCCGATCCGTCTCACGGTCTACGATGCGGTAGCCTTTATGCTCCATAGAGTAGCCCACAAACGTAAGCTTTCGCGCCTTGGCTTCCATTTTTCCGCGCTTCGCCTCTGGAATGTGTACGAAAGCCACGCTGCCAAACACTTTCAGGTGACCTACTTCTGGCTTACGATTCCACCACAGCTCGTATGGCGTTTTCTGAACGGATCTGGACGGTAGACGGTTCTGCAAATAGGTTGCGGTAAGCGTCGCCTCACCCCAGAGGTGCATCTCAAGGCCAGAGTCGAGTAGCATACAGGTGGCCATCTCGGTGAGTGACCTGTTTTTACGCTCAGCCACGCCATTCTGT